AGATCCACCCGGGTCGTTACACATTGGGCAATAAAGTACCCTGTCTAGAGCCATGTAGTGACAGAGTGCTCACAAATGTATGAACTTAAATTAGTACCTTAAAATACTTTAAGAACTCGTTGCAAATACTTTGACGAGACTCGAAGCCCACTAGAAGTTTAGAACTGATGTAGCTGGAATGACTATGGGCTCAACTAGTTTGTTTTATTTTACTACTTATTTTTATTATTTTATGCACTTTAACTAATGTTTAGTTAGGGGTGCTTCATTAAAGTTAATTACAAAATGAGGACTTAGGGTGTAATTTATTTGTGTTTAGTAAATAGGGTTTGGGTTAATACATCAGCCGCAGCCTTATTCTAGGTTTGGTGTATGTTTATTGAAATTTAATAAAGTTTAGAGTTTTCTCCAAATTTTCAATTCAAATTGATATTTGTGTGTGAATCAGTGATTTGTTGATTAAATCAGTTATTCAATATTCCGTGGTGAATGAATGAATATTTGGTTCCTTTAATTTTCTGTATTCTTTGTGAATCAACGTGTTTTTAGATTGTTCTTTGTGTTCGTCATGTTTATCTATTCACGTTGGACACTAATACCGAATTGGATTGAAAAATGGAAAAAACTCGAGATTTTATTAAATTTCAATCAAAATACACCCAACCTAGAATAAGACCCCGTGGCCAAACCCTATTTGCTAATTACAACTAAATTGCACCCTAAGTCCTCATTGTCTAATTAACTTAAATAAACCATCCCTAGCCAAACATTTATAAAGTGCATAAAATAATTAAAATAAGATAGTAAAATAACACAATTAAATCAGCCGAGCCCAGGTTCCTTGTGGCTGCCTCAAGAACCCAATGATTATGATATGTCAGTTGTGTTCCTATGATTTGGTTTCTTGTATTAAGTAGTTCATGTCTGCCGCGGAAAGCAGTATTGAGATAAGTGCTCTATAAACATGGAGTCTTTGTAGCTTCATTTGTTGTTGTGCTGCATCCGTTCCCCCTTCTGCTCCATTGTCCATTTGAAAAAAATTGGTTCTGAATGGCTTCCTCAAAACCAGAGTTATTTGAAAACTGAATTTTGAAACTTTTCTATTCCTAACACTGATGATGATAGAGAAAAGTATACATTTACCTTTTGCGTGTACCATTACGCACCCATATCATATTCACTACATCATTGATTGCCTTAGTATATTTAATTCAGATTGAGTTACTGTGGATGTACCTTAATAGCTGTTGCATTCTATTTATGTGGCTGTCAGCTGTTCTTGGGTCCTTCCTGGCAGTTTTTGACAGCAAAGCAGAAACAGGTTGCTATTTTTTCACTCTATTATGCTGCTAACTGGATGAGGGAATTGGTAAGTTGGTGTCATTGGTTCACTTCGTTGAGGGTTGAAACAAATTTTACTTGATTTACAGCGGCTTACACTTATTCCATTGTCATGTAGATCAATATCTTCTCCACTCAAGTTGTTGAGGGATGTGGCTATACAAGCCAGACAACAAAAGAAGAGATAACCATCAAGCTATTAAAGCGCTTGAGGAACCTTGTGTATGTTCTCATGAATCCACTTTGGTAGTTTCTATAAAATTTACCGAGTCAGTTTTTGTCACATGTATTGCCTTTAGAGTCTACAAATAATGCTTTAGGACGACCATGTACAATATTTGGCGTCGTTTCATATAACTTGGTATCAAATCATTGTTCCTACTTCCTTGTGACTGCATCATGCAACAACAATTAAGTATTGACACTCTACTTGTTAATATTTATATTAACAAACACATTAGTTTGATTTGCAAGAATATTATATCTCACTGTCAATTATATTATTATGTGGTAAGCAAACTGGAAGACAGCAAGTGATATATAAACTGAAAGACAGCAAGTGATATATACCTTTTGACAACATACTACTCAAATTTATTCAAAGTGTCCAGATTTGATAATAGACGATCCGCATCAAGCTGCAGTTTATATGAAAATTGTACTTGCAATTATAAACTTCTTTGCCTTGTCAGATTCATTTTAGTGGTGGTTAAGAAATAGCTCATTTTCTTGTCTTGTTTCGGTTTTGAATAGAGTAGTAAAATGAATGAAGCTGCTTGAGTATAGTTCATTTTCTTTTCTTTTATTGGTTGTGAATTTCTCGTAGACATCAAGTAATATTACTGTAGGAAAACATATCTGCATTAGCCCCTGTTTGAGCCACATGTTTCCCAAAACTCATTTTTTCAAAAATCATATTCAATCAAACATTCTTCGATAAAATAATTTTACACGTAAACCCAAAATTCCTTATTTTTTAACTGCACGTTCTCCAAAAAATCACCATTCAAAAACGCATTTCCCCCAAAACATGGGGCAGGGGCTAAATATGAGGACATCTAAATGTTTCTTTTCTTCATCACATAATAGATTATATTTCTGCTATAAATATTAAGTACGCACTGGCAATGTAACATCAACTTAAATAATTATCAGAAACTTTTTGAAATATTTCTGCATCAACCATTTATTTCAGTTATTAAGATGAAAAATCTTGTTTTGATTTTAAGTTTACATTTATAATTTAATTGATGCAAGACAGTCTTGCTTAGAGAACTATTATACCTCTGACAACATGATAAGACAATGGCTAACAAGAGCTTGGTAATGCAGATTTATCGAGAGTCTATTGAACAATATCCTCGAAAAACACACTGTACTGCTACCGGAGCTCTACCCCCATTTGGAACGCTCGCTAGTTAATGAAATTATTTATTTATGTGATTTGGAAAAGACAAGTCAGCGTCGTAAGGGGAGTGAAACTGTTTCCCAAAACAAAAAGAAAAACAAAAGGAAGGCCTCAACTCATTCTGCCAATTCAGATACTGTGGAAAAATTCAGGCAGCCAAAAATTGTTGATATCTGGAGGAAAGCAGGTGCTATTCCAAGCCAAGAAAATCTCAATGAGGATATGTCTGCCACGTCCTCGAAGGACAGACAATCTGACTCTGCAGAAAGTGAAAATAGCAACTTGAATATTGCTCAAAATTTAGAAGTTTCTGCTCCTGCCAAGTTTTTAGAAGCCCAAAGATACAAATTCAGGCCACTTTCAGTTGATTGCTTTGCCATATTGACATTTTCAGAGGTACACACTCGTCTTATTCTTCAATTGTTATACATCCTTTTCAGCATTAGACTGCATTTGAATATTTTACGAAGACTGAAGCTTCTCTCTATGATATGAAACTACGATGACAAATGTTGGACATTCTAGTCTCTCTATTAGAAGGTGGTGCCATGTTTCTTTTCTCTTTCTTTAGTAAATACCTTATGTACACAGTGTTTTGCATGATTTCCATAATGATCTCCTGTTACATAATTTTTAATTTCACGAACAACATCTGCAGAGTAATCAATGCTATCAAGCACTGACTCTTGACATCATGTTTGCTTTTTCTAGAAAAAAGGCTATTAGTTCTTGTAAATTACATTTAAGCTCCATTTAGAAGCAGTGATGCACCTTCGAAGGATAGGATTTTTACTATGTAAACTGTTTACCCTTTTCTCTTATATAATTCCTGGTGTACAATAACTCTTTAACTAAGCATGATAAATTAAATTACCCACAGCAACAAAAGAATAACGGCTCAGCTCCTTTGTGTGGCCCAGTTAGAATATTTTTTTGGCCTTTCTTTAGCTTTGTACTCCTCCAAGCTTTTAAAATCTTAATCCAATGAGGGATTCACATTATAACAGAGCTTTGTTAGTACCGCCTTAAGTCTCTTTAGATGTTTGAAGCACCTCGTGGACTGCTAAGGATGTCCATGATCGTTTCAGATATGGAGTTTTGTCATAGAATACGACTAATAAGAATGAGACTGGACAAGAAAGGGAGAGAAAGAAAGAACAAAGGGGAGAGAATCAAGAGAAATTAGCCGAGAATACGAGTTTATTCAATAATCAAGTCTAACTAGACAATGCATAAGCTCCCTTTATATTTTAAACCAATCTTATTTAAGTAGAAAAAACTAATAAAATACTAAAAATTCTATAAATAAAACCCTAATTGCATTTCCTAAAAATAAGTATCTGACTTGAAAAGTCATTCATACAATATATCTAAAAGGATCCCCATCATTTCTTCCCTATTGCAACAAGGTAGACTGCAACTTTTTATCAAATGACGATTGTCCTCCTTCCCGATCAAATAACAACACTGACCATATAATGAGCTTATGATAGCAACAAGCTGTGCAACTCATTCAGTATCAACTTTATCCAAATAATTAGTGCAAATGACCGGTGTAGATTGCCTGCAGAAACAAATGATTATAGTCTATCAATAGTTGACAGTAATCAGCTAAAGTAATTTTGGAAAGTTGTTTATAGTTTTGGAACTAAAATTATAAGTTATAACGTTTTAAATGAGATTTAAACATATGAAGTGCAATAATAACATACATAATAAGCTTTGACTTCAGGGGTGGAACAAAGAATGGGATGTCCTAAATAATATTGAACATTTGTCCAGAGACCTTGATGGAGATCCTATTACATATATTATATAGAAGACTTTTCAATATAGACACTTATTTTAGGAAAAGTAATTATGAATTTATTTTATAGATTTTCTAGTATTTTATTAAATTATTTCCTATATAAATTAGATTAGTTTAAACATTATATATATGGAGTTTATTCATTGTGATAGTTAGACTTTTGATAAATTGAATAAAACTTTCTCCAATTTCTTCTCTCAGCTTCTCCCCTCTCTTTCTATCTTTCTTCCCCCTTCTTCTACAAGTCTTGTTCTTCCTTAGATAGTGTTCTGTGTCAGTTTAGTAACAGAACAAGTTGTACTCCTCTGGCCAAACAAATTTCGTCGGGTGTTGATAGGTGTTCAAAATCAAGATTTTACTGTAGCCACTGTCCAAAAGCATACACAAATCATATCTGACCAACCTCATACACACCGAACACCAGCGTCATCCTCTACCCATACACAAACAACCATTCACCCGCCAACAACTCCAAATCCCTACACCACCCTATTATCCACCACTACATCCAAAAAACCACACCAACATAACAAATAATATAAGGACAACAATAACAACAAATTACGGTGCTCTGTTTAGAAAAATAGAAGCAGAGAAAAAAGGCAAAAGAATAAATAAAATTGTTTCCTGCTTAGTGCTAGTTTTCGTTTATTTTTTAAAAAAGAAGAAAATTATTCCATGGTACCTTATTTATATTGTTGTCGCTATTCAAATCCAACTACATCCTCGATGTCGAGGCTTATTCTGTACGTTAATACTGAACTTCAGAAGTTTAAATCTCATTTCAAACATTTGAATAGGCTATAAGTTCAACTAAAATTATTTTAGCTGATCACTGTCAATTTGTGATGGATTGTTATTTTTCATGAACATTTCCACTACAAATTACCAATATTTTAATCTTTCTATCATACCATATCTTGATTGGAGGAGGACTATGGTTATGTTAAAAATCTACCAATTCAATTAATATGACCATTATAACTTTTAATGTTCTTTAAGGTAAATCAGAAGTATTTGAAATTTCCTTTCTAAACCCTATCTACTCATATAAACATATTACATTCTCCTTGTCAGATAACTGTGTATGTCCTTGTTGTACACTTATATGCCTCCATATCTAAATATATTCTGACTACGATTGACTTAGTCAAACCCTTAGTTATATTAAGTCTGTAGTGCAGTAATAAACTATAATAGTCCATAAGAATATAAACATGGTGCCTCAGGTCTGAAGATCACATGTGCAAGCTTAACATAGAATAAGAAAAATAATACTTGAAGTACCATGTGACTTGTTCTGTCATCGGGTTTCAGTGAATTTGTTCTCTGACAAGCATCTATACAATTATGTCTCCATGTCTAAATATATTCTGACTACAATGGACTTAGTCAAACCCGGAGTTTTATTAAGTCTGTAGTGCAATAATGAACTATAATAGTCCATAACAATATAAACATGGTGCCTCAGGTCTGAAGATCACATACGCAACCTTAACATAGAATAGCAAAAATACTTGAAGTACCATGTGACTTGTTATATCATGGGGTCATTTTAGCGAATTTGTTCTCTATCAAGCATCTACATGATTACTTTGATATCTCATGTCAATTATATGAAACTCATCTCTCCAGTAAATCATGCACTGGTCTCGTCAAATTACTATAGCCTCACTATAATCCTAAGAATGAGAACTTTAAAGATCAAGAACTAAGAAACGCACCTTTAATAATCTTAAGAAC